GAAGCGCAGCTCACACCTTCAATTCACACGCGGAACAACTTACTCCCAGCAGCCGCGGGAAACAACTATAACTATATTTTTTAACTTTGCACTTACTTCTACTAATTTCCTTCACAGCCTGTCCCATTTACCCAGCCCTTATTCCCCTATTATCACTATTCCCGTAGAACAAAATGTTGGAATTAGGAGTGCATGAGATGCAATACTCAAACTACCTTTGCCAAAAGACTTTATTTACCACATTTTAGCGTCTGTTCATAATTAACTTCTATACTAAGGACAAGGACGTTGCCTTAAAAGCATTAGACATCTAGATGAAATGGAAGAATATAGTTCAACAATCGGACAGTGGTCACTTCATGAAGCGTATACTTTTTCCTAAAGAACAGGAGGTAAAAAGGAGCTAGCTTACGCAACTGTTGTCTACCGTTAAACTAAGGTCTGCATATCCTTTTCGGTTTTTTCGTTTATTTAAAACAACTGGACAGCCTGCCCCAAATGAACTATTCTGAATTCATTTGGGACATGGCAGGCATTGTTTAAACTCCTTTTACAATGTACAACTTTTTTTGCTCGATGGCAGAATTTTCTCCCAAACATGAAAATCGTGAAAATTTAATTTATGACAATGAGGATAAATAATCTGACAACAGACCATGCCACCGATGGAAGCCTTATATAACAAAAACGGCTTCTAAAAGCGTTCAGGAAGGTTGTTTGTAATACGGGAATCCTGGAAAAAAGTGGTTTTATTTGGTAGAGGTATATAGAAAACTGCAAAAAAACATCAAAGAAAATGACAAAAAATTAAAATGCAGATCGTGACAGCATGTCTTCTTAAGTAAGTGAATTATTAATTAGTACTTTCCCGCGCCGATCACAAAATAGCCACTAACAGAAGTTGAGGGGTAGTAATAATTTGACTGGCACCAAAACAAAGCCACTCTGAAACGAACGTAGACCAGCCAGTGCAAACGAAGGGGTTAAGGCCACAACCAATAGGCTTTCGAATAGAATCAATAGAAAATTACTTTCGATAGAAGACCTTTGGGAAAAGGTTGAGTTCGTACAATTCTCATCTGTCTGACGACGGCCTGGTGAGCCAGTGTTGAAAATTCCCAAAGGACTTCCTCTACCGAGGTATACTTGTTAGGATGCCAATTTTGCAGTTCACACGTGAGAAAATTATATCTCAGAAGAAGATGCGGTCACTGGAACAAGGGTTTTATTTTCCTGACGTTCCGGGCTCTGTCGAGAATCCTTAATCATAGGTAATTGTAGGAAAGTTGGAGACCTGAGCAGATAAAGGTGATACATCCATCGGTTGCATGGTATTTATAGTTCGTAGTTGTCATCCGCATGCGTACTATAAATACTGTGCAACCAGTGCATTTATCACCCTTATCTGCGCATGTCTCCGACTTTCCTACAATTACCTATGGTGAAGGATTCTCGACAGAATCCGAAACGTCAGGAAAATAAAACCCTTATTCCAGTGATCTCATCTTCTTCTTCTGAACTGCTTCCTGGAACTCGCATATTCTCCTCTATTGGCAAAATTATATCGCTCAATTCAACTTTTTCTCCCCAACCGAAAACTATAACTCTAAACTTAACACCAACACAAAATCGAACCACCCTCATTCCCCTTATCTTCAACCGAAGGCTTTATCTCTAATTCTAAGCCCCGACCCCCACTCTGTCCGAATATTCTGTATCTCAAATTAACCTTCACGCAAATTCAAAATTGCAAGCAGACATTTGTGCACTGCGATGCTATTAAATATCTAGTAAAGAATAAAGCAGATGCGAACCTTAATGGTAGGAATCCATAGTGAAATAACAAAGAAGTCAACCAACTATAATGCCTGCTTCTAGACAATCAAAAACACATGTTTGCAGTTTAAAAATACAAGCGCGCAGCCGTTTCAAGGTCAAAGTCGATG